CTGATGAAAAGCAGAAATTTTGAGAGTGAAGCCCCTTGCTAGGCCCTCAAGGGTGCATGGTGCTTCTCGTTCTCAAGCCTGGGAACTTGGCAGATGCTCGAGCCATCAGCCTTCATCTCCCCCCCCCCCCCAAGCAGTCATCTGGTCCTTGACCTAGTGTGCGATTTTTGTCCTTTTCGCCGAGCCTGTATTGGAGGGCCTAGCTATGTTCTAGAAAATTCTCTAGTGCTCTTAGGTGTCCAGAGCCCATAGGGGGCTGAGAAAAGATGCAAGGACAGTCCTGCAGAAAGTAAGACGTGTAACTACGTCCTCAGATAACATCTCTGGGTTGTGGGTGACCGGGTAGGCCCAGGGCTCCAGGCCCAGAGATGTTCCTCGGCTCTAGTGGAGATTTCCGCAGGAGATTCTCCTGTGTTAGCAGAGGTGATGTCCTTCTGACCTGGCTACAGCAGAGGAGCCAGGGGTACGCTCCAGGCCTCTTCCTGTTTGGCTACTGTTTGGTCTGATGGTAGAAAACCAATGAGGTGTGGGTGTCAGCACAACGTGAGGACCTGTATTAAAGGGTCGCAGCGTTAGGCAGGCTGAGGACCGCTGCTCTGAACTTTACCCTCAACCCACCCAGGCTAGTTCTTAAGTAATACTTGCTGGGGCTCTGGCTTCCTCAGACTAATGAACCCTAAAGTACACAAAGAAAATTCTTTTACCTCTCGGACAAACCATGGCGGTGAGGGCTGATCCGGCCCCTACCCTGTTTTACACGCATGGTTGTTGATTTGCCTCTAGCCGTCTCAATAGTTGAGAAAGGCCCCTGCATCCACAAATCCTGAAAACAGTACCTAGTCCTTTACCAAAGTGTCTGCTGGGCCCTGGCATGGCCCTTTCAATGCGTTTGTAGCTATTTTTATTGATTCATGTTCTTGGAGCTGTAGGGCCTCTTTGTAAATGAATGACTCTCAATGTTCCTGAAAGATACAGCGATTTTGGTGCTCTTAAAGTCTGTCCATCCTTCTTGGTGGCAGCCTTATAGGTCAGATTTAAAGTCATAGTGAAGTCAGAGGCACACTCCTCCTCAGTCTTCTCCCCAGTGTGGCTAGCAGCGCTGTGGCGGGCTGTCCCTTACCCTGTCCTGTTCTTAGCATGCGGTGCTTTGGGTAGACCACTCACTCAGAAGCTCCCTGGGCTTTTTCTGCACAAAATACAGTGAGGAATCTGGGACTCCAGAAACAAAAACTGAACCCACACAACCATTTTTTTTTTTTTTTTTTTTTTTTGGCCAGCCATTATGAAGGCTGCAGATTGAGTGAGTTAATACAGTGAGCCCTGGATTCAAATCTTGGCCTGCTACAGCAAAAGACTGCCAGTGTAATTGTGTTGCAGAGGCTGAGGGGAAGAATTAAATAGTCCCACCATCCTCAGAGAACCTGCACAGTTTGTTATCTTGTAGATAAAATGTCCAGGCCAGTAATAGCCATCCCAAACCACACCAGCTGGGTACGTGGGTACATGGCACAGTCTGTGAGACTTATGGATTCCACGCTGACTTCTGGGGTGGGGGCTGAGGGGTGAGGGCAGAAATAGGTACTATTGGAGCCAGGATAGGAAGTTAAGTATTTTCAGCAGGTGGAGCTCTGTGGGGACTTATGGCCCAAGGTGAGGTGGGAAAGACGCTGGCAGAGGGGAGATATTCGGAGGATTTGTGGGACGAATAAAAGGGGATCAGAATCAGACCTCTAAGTTACCCTTGGGGGCCAAACCTAACTCTGACATGGGACCTGAAGGGTCTAGCCCTTTCGAAGCTCTGCGTGCCTGTGCCATTACTGGGTACCTCCTGTGTCCCAGGGTGCAGGAGATAGCCAGGCATGGGAGTGCACTCAGCAGTAGCAAGATGGCAGGAAGGGAGGCTCCAGGAGAGCAAGCAGACACGGCTGTAAGGAGCCTAGGTCCGAGCGGTGGAGGGCATGGGCAGATATAAACCTTAAACGAGGCAGGTGGCACCAGCCTCGTCACGTATGTCCAGAGGTTTGCTGGTGGCACAGACTGGAGGGATGGAAGGAGAGTGGTGGGAAGTGAGGTCGCATGGGGACAGATTGCAGGAGCCTGAGGGGGACTCTGGAAAGCAGGAGTTTGAGATACAGGAGAATTTCATCATGAAGGAGAGAGTGAGGAAGGTGGACAGAAGGCAGAGGAAGAAGGTGGTGACAGGGCTGGGTCGGATGCTTCTTCCTAAGGGGGGGGGGGGGGGGGGGGGGATAAAGTCACGGTGGGCATTATGGACTCCATTCAAAGGGTAGCAGGCTGCCCTACAAAGGGACACCTGGATGAAGAGGTGGATCAGATCCCCTCAGAATGTGGAGCCCAAGTTTTTAGCCTGGCACGATACAATGCAGTTGCCATCATCAGGTTGGTACGTGTTCTAGAACCTTCTCGCCTGCAGCCAGGGGTACATGTGGGATTTTAGAAAGAAAAGCCACTACCAAAGAGGTTGCTGGAGGTGGTTCAACCTGCTGTCAACCTCACCCAGCGGCCTGCAGAGTGATGGTCTGAGGTGGGAGTCACTCCCTGGCTGGGTGTGGTTGGAAGGTGGCTCTCAGCTGGTAGGACACACCACACCCCAAGAGAAGGCATCACCACCTCTCTCTGGCCTGGTGAGAGGTCGTCCAGCCCTGCTTCCTCAAGAGGGAGCTGACCCTTCAGTGCCCGAAGCAATGCCAATCTGCTATTGTTAGCAAACCTGGGCTATGGGAAGTTTTCACCAGGGGTCGACAGCTCTCACTCCAGAGGCCAAGCAAACAAGGCCACTGGGATCCCGACTTTGAGAAACTTCACAGAAGCTGCCTAGTCCCTGCTTTCTGCATGGAATGGCTTCCATTCCATCCCCAGAGGGCCTCCAGCTCACTGGGCCCTGGCAGTGCTGTAGGGATAGAGCTGGCATTGGCATCCTCCATTCAGATTCCCATTTTGGGCCCCAAGGAGTGAGCTGGTACCTGCCTCTGTAGCCCAGCCCCTGAGGCCATTTAACATCCTGGAAGTGTTGGTTACCCTAAGGTTGCAAGGTCCCATCCTTGAACATACCTGATATCTCTAGTCTGACACATCTAGCGTTCTGCAAGCCCACACCTATTCTATCCTGGGCATTGTGGCCATTGACTTGATGTATCCATGCACACAGCACTAGGAAATGCTAATATTTTTTAGCCCAGTTTATAAGGTGAGAAACTGAGGCATGTAATGGTTAGATCAGTAAAGCTAGGCTCAGGATCAGTTCAGTGGTACTCCGACCCCGACTCTGACTCCAGCATGTACCTAAGGAATGCTGAGCTGAGCCCAGCCTTCTCGTGCAAAGTGCTGAGGGTACAGCAGAGTGCTCCTGACCATGACCACTGACAGCTGTCGAATGCCATGCACCAGGCTGTTATCCACGCCCACGGTCAGCATCCTCAGACCAGCTCTTACAGCTGAATGCCTGTAAGCCCAGCACTCGGGAGACAGAGGCGGGAGGATTGATGGCCCATCAGTTCAGGGCCAGCAGAGTCTACATCATGAGTGACTAGACTACATGCCATGAGCCCATCTCAGAAAAAAAAAATAATTAAAAGCAAAAACAGCCAGTAAGATGGCTCAGTGGGTAAAGGTACTTGCTGCCAGGTCTGATGACCCGATCTGTCTTTGAGACCCGCATGGTAGAAGGAAAGAACGGACTTCAGCAGGTTGTCCTCCGACCTCTATTTGCATGCTGTGACACATCCTTTTACCTCACTCCCAGCACAGGAGTTAAACGTAAAAAATAGAACGATCCTAAAAAGGAATGCAATACTGATTCCCACTTTAGGAATAGGGAGCCCGAGTCACAGACCTGTCCAGGCACACAGCCAGTTTGGCTCAGAGACAAACCTGGACTAGCCTGTCCTTTAAAGCTGTACTCATGCCCATCCCTGATGACCTGGGGGCCACAGACTCATCAAGGCAGCTGCCTCCCAGAAGAAAGCACCTCAGACCCCACAGAACCCGGAATGAGGAAGGTCTGGTCTCCGGCAGCCTCTCCACCTCCGATGCCATTTCTATCTCTAACACTCAGAAAACGATCCACACGAGACACGAAGGAGGCTGTGGGAGGAAATATCCTTTCCACCCTGGGTTCAGTCGACAAAATGCCACGGAAGACATACAGTTGCTTTTGGGGACAGGCTCTGCAGCCTCCTGTGAGTGCTGATGATGAGAGCGGTTGACCTCTGGGGGTGCTAAGAGAAGGCTGTGGCCAGATCCTCCGTACTAGGACCTCCTGACCCCATGCCAGTAATTCACCCTTCAGATGAGCTGCCCAGCTAGCACAGGCTAGATAGCTTCTCCATACCAGGAGTTGGCACCATGCCCACAGTTCCTGATGGAACCACATACTGACCAGGGAAGGAGACTGGATCCCAGGCCCTTCTGAGGACCCCTCCACTGCTGGAGCCTTGATGCACAATCCTTAAGTGTGTGTGTGTCGGGGGGGGGGGGGTGGTTGTTCTGATGGTGTTTTTTTTTTTTGTTTGTTTTTGTTTTTTTTTTTAACTGAGGTTTTATTTAAGTGGGTAGCCACTTACTTAGCTACGACTGTGGACCCTTCCTGCCACCTGCTGTCTTTGTAAGGGCCCTGAATTTGGGGGTGTTAGGGGGTTTTTTCATCTGCTGTGACAGGCTCACATGCCAGGTGCTTTAAGAACATGGTACTCACAGAGGCAGACCCACTGTGATAGACACACAGTGGCTTAGGAACATGAACTGAAGGATGGAAAAGGAGAGGGCTGAACACGTTACCACATGAGCAGTCAGCTGCGGGGAATTGGGGTGGGCAGCAATGTCACTGTGTGGCTAGGCTGTTAATGTGGAAATGGTTAAATGATCATTATAAGGATGCAGAAAGCAGCCTCTAACCGGATGCCTTGTTTGGGCATCATCTCACGTGTTTGTTTTTTGTTTTTTTCTTTTTTTCTTTTTTTTTAATTCTCTCCCTTTTCTAGTTAATGAAATCATCAGGAAGGAGTTTTCAGGACCTCCTTCCCGAAATCAGACCTAGGAACAGACATTCTCGTAAGACGCCTTCCACTCTGGACCCCTTCTGTCCCCTCCTGCCGTCTCTGACTGAACACTGTGTGTGGGTGCAGCGCATGGGCTGTTTGTGCAGGAACCTGCTGCCTCCCAAAGTGCATCTCGGCTGATGTCCACGGTGACTGGATGAGAAAGCAACTGCCTGCTGACCAAAGCCCCGTTCTCAACTCACCAGGATGCTGAGCCTCAGACCTGAAGGCTCAGATGCTGAAGCTTCAGACAGGGCTGGAGAACTGTGATAGAGCCCCAGCCCCACAGACATGGCTCCTCTCCTTCTGGAAGTGTCTTTAGACAGAGTGGTCAAAAGGACACGGCCCAAGAGTCCAGCTTCTGGCTGGAAAATCCCAGGTCTGTCTCTGTAGGAGCTGAAACTGGGCCGTCATCCACGCCCCAGCTGGGCCACAGCAAAGCTTTATTTTGAATTTTCTCTTTCCAAAGCCAAACTGCCTTGCCCTGCGAGGACCACCTGCTCCAGCTTCTCCGCCTTAAGTTATAACACATGTACGTATCTGCTAGAGCTTTTTCTGGAGCTTTTTCTCTGCTTCAAAGAGCCAACGAGGTGGCTGCGAGCTGAGCCTTCTTCCTGGCTACTCCCTAACCCACCTGCAGCAGACTTCTGGGGGGGTGGGATCCAGCCCATGCTCCTCTCTCCACCTCCTCCAGCAGGAGCTGGGAGACCCTACCCTGTCCTTGCATTGACTGTTAAGGAGCTAAAGCCACCAATAGAACCGGCAGGTGTTTGTCATGACTGCTACCAAACAGAACAAAAGGGCTTACATGTCCCTTTGCCCTAACCTCAAAGCAGAAAAGCGCTGGCTTCGGCCCCCCTTCGGTTCTGTTTACCTGGATTCATTTAAAGCCTCCACAGACTCCAAAGCGCTGGCGCATGAGCTTCGCGTAACTCAGGCCCATCCGCCCCGGCATATGCGATAGCGTGAGCAAGCCCTGTTGGGCCAGGTTGTGTGTCCTGAGGAATTCTCTCTCCCTGCTCCAGGCACACCACAGTCCTCCACAGTCTTCCTCCCCTGGTGCAGTTTTTTCTTCTTCTTCCAACAGAGCTCTTCCAGCAAGTTCACTTTCTGTTTTGCCTTCACCACAGATGTCCCTGTTGGGCAAGGCAGAGTAAAGTGACTTTCTCAGCTCTGTGTCCTAGGCAGGGGACCTGAGAGGTGCCACAGTGGCTAAATACCACGGTGGGTTTCTTAACATCCTGGCTTTCTTCTCAAGGCCATCCCAAAAGAAATCTTCCCGGGAGCTGGGACAGCCACGGCTGGCTCTGCAAACAGAGACCCCATGCCCAGGGCTCAGCCTGAGCGTGAAGAGTGTGGCTCCGTGGTCAAGATCTAGTCTTTCCTTCCCCCCTCGCAGCAGCCTGGGCTTTCCCTCCACGTACCCCAAAGCACAGACCTAAGCAGAATTTTCTTTTGAACCCAGAATGTGCACAAGAAGTTGAGCACTAAAGCCTCTGTGATTCTAAACAAGAAAGCCTTTTCTGCTGGCCCTTGACCGACAGAAGTTTCTAACTGGAATGGTGCCTGCTTCTCTGGGGAAGGGTGATGAGGGTTTGGTGAGTGATCAGTTCACACTTGCCCTGGCTGGGAGCCACTTCTTGCACATGAGGGAATCAGGCCCTTCCTCAGATATCTCAATGTTTTACCCAAGTGCCTTCCTGTAATTGTAGTGAGTAGTTCAGCGGCATTGTCCACGGGGTGAAAAAGGGCTAACTCATTTCCCATTCATCATCTAACCATGTCAGCAAAGAGGTTCCCGGTAGCTCAGACTCCGGTACCTGCGTGTGTGTGTGTGTGTGTGTGTGTGTGTATGTGTGTACATGCTGCTCTTCCCCTTGCACTATCTTAGTTGGATAGCCTAAGAAACCTGCTCGTAAACAAACATCCCAAATAACCGAGGAAAGAAAGCAACATTTGTTTGCAGACAAATAGGCCTGAGAAAGTGTGTGAGTAGCAGACAGCGATCAAGAAAGTGTGGTCAGTTACAGACTGCAGCAGGGGAGACTGTTAGAAACCATTTCCAGAATGTGAAGATGCAGAATAAGGACAGAGATCCCCGAGTAGGGAAGACGGGCATGCCGAATGTGGGTCAGAAGGGTGGAAGCAGAAGTGTGTCCTTGCCAAATCCATGGTGATGTTAGGGTGGCACTCTGACAGTTAGCTCCACGTTCTGAATGTGGTACTTGCTCTGCAAGGTCCGTACATCCACCCGGATTAGCATGGTATTAAATTTTCTTTTACCTGTATTTTCATGCTTTTTATCTGCCCTCAAAATATCTCACCCCTGATGGAGCTAGAACATATTTATAAATGGTCAGGTGTCTTCTTAAGGGTCTTTTTTTTTCTTCTAACAACTTATCTTCATTTTCTGTAAGAGAAAAGGTGTACTCTTGAATGTACATTCTGGAATGTTTTCATTCCAGAAAACAAATCCAAAGACTCGCCTTGGGTCCTGTCAGGACCTTAGGACAGGAGGGAAGGGGACTTCGTAGGAGGAGAGAGTATCTTTTTCTTGCTTAAGAAGGATGCTGGCTCCTCCTCAAGCCAGGGTTGCCCCTGAGACTTGTACATGAAGGGGTTAGTCAGTGGTTTTGACTTAAAGCCACAGAACCCTGTCTTCTCACGGACGAGAGCCCACAGGCAGGCGGACACGGACAGAGCTTTGTGGAGTCCTCCCACAGGACAGCGGTGTGCAGCTTCCAAAGAACGGCCACTTCTCTTTCAGCACATCGTAGCCATGGGCAAAGTCAGCTGCTTCCTCCCAAGACCCGGGACAGCTTGTTCACATGTGGTAGTCTGGCCATCCTGTTATTCACCATCCCCGGCCATCCTTAGCCACTGGTGGCTCCGTCACACAGGGAGGTCAGAAGCCAAGGTGTCTTAATTGTCACTCAGAACCTGAGCGAGGCTGAATTGCACCACAGTGCTCAGCGTTGACAGACCATGGTGTGGGGGGGGGAGGAAGGGAGGGGTGCTACTTCACAACTGTCTTCATTTGGAGCCCCAGAAAAGAGTGGCCAAGCTAGGCTAAGCACACCCTCACCACTGTGTCTCCCAGGCTTGGGCATCAGTTCATGGACCTAAACCAGACAGCTGCAGAGTGAGGGACTTTCCTGCAGTCAGGCCAGCTGCTTAAGTAAGGTCACGTCACCTCCACCTACGACCAGCTTACCCGTGCCTTGACATATAGCCACCATCATTGTCTTAATCCAGTTTGTTTACAGCTAACTAGTGATGGGCAAGAGCAGGCTTCTCTGACATCACGGTGGGATCCTGGGAACTGGAGTCAAAGGGTTAACGCTGTCTCTATGCAGCCTTGGGGCAGATGGGAATAAACTGCCCTGCCCTCTCAGGCTTTAGATGGTCAGGGTACAGATGAAGCTGTTGCCTTCTGGTTGGCCAGAACATACCACAGCAGCATCCCAGGCAACAGAGAACCCATTCCCCTGTCACTTCTCAGCCCACACAGGGAATCTCACTGTCCTCTAGGTGCTGGGAGGTCGCACCAGCTTGGCCAGAAGGCTGGGGTTTAGGGAAATCCTGACTGTTTGAGGAGTTGGAATATATCGCATTCCTATGCAAAACAATTTTAATCTCCAGTTTCTTGTAGTTTATTTTTGCTATATGTAAAGTATTTTTATACGGCTTGTATGATGACCGCTTACCAATAAACAGTTGAGAGCAACTTTAACTTGGATGTGTCTGCTTCTCTGGGAGGGTTTGAGCTGACTTAGGAGCCAGGCCCAGAGAGCAAAGAAGGGTTTTGTTTGTGTACGTCGAGTATCAGCTCGGGAGGATCTTGCTGCTTGTGTCGTATGCACAGGAAGGCTTCCCCGTGTGACAGAGCCACAAGGTCAACTCAGATCTGCCCTAACGTCTCCATCTAGGCTCTGCTGCAAACTGCCTCCTGGTTCTCTTTTTGGGTCATGGACAGGAACAGATTTATGAGTCAGCCTTAGGCCACGTTTTAGAAAGTCCCTGAGTACTTGAACTCATTTGAAAACAGTGGGATAAGGGATAGGGACTTTCTGTTTGAGCATCCAACAAAAATTACCGGAGGTGAGAAGTACTTTTCATCATCAAGCCCCAAAACATATTCCAGAAGCTTCCAGGACTTTCTAGCTGCCTTCCTCCTTGGAAAGGCTTTTCTCCTTTCAGAGTTACAGTGCTCAAGAGAGGTGGAAAGACTCACTGGTTTCTCAAATCTTAATATTATTCAAAGGTCTTTCGTCCTTGAGAGCTGTGCTCTGAAGTCCTAGGGCCTGTGCCCCAGGGACTCACTCTACACAACCAGGATCTGCCCTTGGAATGTTCTAGACGCCAGTTTCACCCCTTCCAACCAGCAGGACCATATGGACAGGTGTCCCAGGCCCTGACAGGGGGTTGCATGAGTCTTTGTGGATGCAAACACTTACCCTGAAAGGCCTCAGGCCCCTCCAGTGGCTTAGAGCAGAAGCCCCCAAAGAGTCCCACAACCTGGAGGGTCTGGATTCCAGAAGTTTCTGGGTGAGTGAGCACATGGCTTCCCGGTAGCTGGTGTGGATTCTATTTTTCTGTGGGACCTTGTGAGGTGGGACCTACAGAATTCTGCTAACACACGCTCTTGAGAATGACTCACATGGCTTGAATGAGTAGGACCCCCCCACTTCCACCTCCACATACCCCAAGCTGGTTCTACACCTTATGATGTCTGCTGTAACCGTGGACAACTGTCTGTCTTTTCCTCACTTTTGAAGCCTTTTCATGCCTTTCCTGAAGACTATACACCCCACTCAAGGCAGATCTGCCCTTTACATCTCAATGCAGGCTTTACTTGGTAAACATAAACGTGTCCCGTTCCTCAGTTTCCCCTGATGCAAAGTGAAGACAATAGTTGCTACCTCCCAGGTATCAGGACCCTGATAAAAACTGGCTCATATATTCACTGTTGAACCCTGAGCTTCTGCAGGGACCTCATTTACCGTGAGATCTGGAAAAACGTAATAGAGGTTTGGGTGTTTTGTTTTGTCTTTAACTAGACCATGAGAGCCAGAAATGGGTCTATCCACTTTTCAAAAATTCCAAATGTAAAGGAAGCACACACTTGGACACCCTGGGGTGACAGCAGTCTGCAGAGGTCCCTTGCCGTGTACAGCAGCGGGGGTGCAGTGTTACAGGATGGGTCTCTTGGTTTGTAACAAGCGGAGACTTCAGAAGGCTTAGGGGAGAAAGTAGGACCGACACGGGCGCAGCCCCTTTGGGGTCATAAACCAGAAGGAGGTGCAGGACAAGGCTGAGTCTCAAACAACAAGAAGGCTGGAACCACAAGAGAATCATCAGTAAATGAAAGTGAAGGCCACAGCCATGAGGAGGCAGAGGGGGCTGGCCTGTAAGCCTCATGACATTTTGCGGTACAGACAAGTGTGGACAAAACTTTCCCTTCAGAAGTCCTCTCTGAGAGCCCACCTGCCCCACCTCCTGGTAACGCTTGGAAGTGGAGTTGTGTGCACATGGCCCAATGGACAGGGACACCAAGGAGACTGCCTCATCCCAACCTCTCTAAGAATTCTGTACTTGGAAATCATGACCATCAGAGGTGCTGCAGGGGCCATTCTACCCGGTCCTTAGCCGGGTTTTAAGGATGATAAACCACAGCCTCTATGACAAATTTACCAAGCCCCCTCAAGCGCCCACCGAGAGCAGAGTACACCCATGAGATTCCATGTCAGGGCCTTTGCTCCGAATGGCATGAGGCCCACTCAAGGCCAGGCTTCCCAGGGCCGCTCCGGACAGGGCTGCATGGACCCCTTTCGAAGATTCCAGATGTGGCTACATCTGCCTGCCAGCCACAGGGCATTTCTGGTTGATGTGCCCGAGATTCCCTGATCCCCACTCTCTCCCTTCCCCACCAGCCCTACGGCAACACCGTCCAGGCAGTTGCTTAAGGAACAATGTACCAGTCACCCGGAGCTGAAAGCACCTTACGGGTTCTTAGCATTTAGATCTGGATTCTCGGCAACGTGCTCAGCCATCTTCCCTGCTCCCAGCTCTGCTCACACAGCTTTTTCTCCCTTGCTCTCAGACCACACCGTCTCCCAGTTCTGTTTCTGCTTTCTTAGTGCCGGAAGTGCTTGCTTCCTAATTCCAGAAGCATTTATAAAGACCTGGCTCTTCCTCCCCAGCTGCCATGTGAGCTACCATGTGAGGGCCACCACACTGAGCCCGCTGTGCATGGAAACGGCTGGCGTTGGGTGTCAGCTTGCTAACTGACTGTTTCACCTCGTGGGTCCCTGGAGAAAAGGGTGCTGCCTCCCCAAGCCCAGCAAACAGTAGGACCTCAGTAAATGGCGTGTAGGGTGTGTGAATAACCAGACATGACCAGCTTTGACATGCACAAGAGGCAGACAGCCACAGAAAAATTAATCACTTCCTAATAGTTAACCCATTTTTCAAAGCCTAACAATGGACTCAAGAGAGGCCTTCCCTCCGCCCCACGGGGCTTGATGTGTTCATTTCTGGTTACACAGCGGTTGTTTTCTGGCAAGAGCCAGCTCCCTTCACTGCAGAAAGCAATAACGACATGATTCCCTCTGGTCCCTGAGCTGCCGGGCCAGCATTTGCTCCCGACAGCCTGCAGTCACCTGTGGCCCTCCGGCCTGTAAAGCACTCTGTGCTGTAGCTCAATGGCTCCTGGGGGACAGGTAGACGAAGGGCGGGCAGCCAGCTGCTGTTTACTAGACAAATGTGAAACTGGAACTTCCCCAAGGAGGGAGTTTGCCAAGGTGAGAGACGAGACTGCTGTGGGGACTCCACAGCGCCCTCTGTAGGCCACTTGAGAAATACTGCAAGCTTGACTCTCACTCACACCTGGGGAGGGGGATCCCAGGCTCTCATTTAAACTCCACGTTCTGCCTCTGAGTACCACAGGGTCTTCTGCACGACCCTCGCCCCTCCCAAAGCCCATCCTGCCAAGACCATGTCCTTTAAGAGCCAAAAAACCGTGAGATCCGGGATGCTGTGGCCTCCCATTTCCCAAGGCTCATGGTCTCGCCCTGTTTCTTTGCTCTCCTGTTCACAGTGGGCTGTCAAGCTCCCTTCCCCCTCTCTGCCTTCCATTGGAGTCCCTGAGACCCCACTGTCTGCACCTTTTCTCTCCCCAAAAGCTGCTTTTTGCCTTCTGCTCCCTATCACCCATGGTACAGAAGAATCCGCATTCTCCTCTAACTGGGACCCTGCAGCTTCCAAACCCACCCCACCACAATCCTCACCAGATTCTGCAGGCCTCAGAGACAGTCGTAGAAAACCCAGTGCTTAAAGCGTCAACAATTTACCTTCACAATTCCGAGGATCAGAAGTCCAAAGTGGGGTTCACGGAGATGTTCAGCAGGCTGGGGTCCTCCTGGAGACTGGACCCCTTCCTACATCTTCCAGCTTCTCAGGAAATAATACAGCTGCCCACAGGCCGGGGTCCCAGCCTACTCCATCTTCTAAGCCAGCAATGCACTTGAAAGCTGGCCTCTAAGAAGCTTTCTTTAGTTGATATTGTCTTCTGATCACACAGGGCACACCTGGAAAGCCTGGGCTACCCAGGGCACACCTGGGCAGCCTGGGCTACCCAGGGCACACCTGGTGCCCTCCCCACATCACCTGTGACCAGTACTCACGCTTGCCGTCCTTTGATGTGGAGGGTGGCCGATTCACAGGTTTCAGGGACTGTGGGGGACATCTTTGAGGGCTCTCTGCCAGCTCCGAAGTAGCCCTGGGTGTGTGTGGGTGTCTTCTGTGCCTTCCTGGACCACAGGCTGTTCTTGCTGGGCCGATGTTCTCATCCTAGTGATGTTCACCTGAGCGCTTTTTCCAGCTCTGCTCTTGCTTGACGCTTGGCGATCCCGTCATCAGAGGGGTAGTCCCTCCTGCACCCTGACTCTGTTTCTCAACCTCCTCTCCTCCAGAATATCTGTGCTCTGGAGAGGACACTGAGGTCTCCCCATTCAGGGTGCATCAGAATCGCCTTGGAGGCTCCCTACTACCCAGATCTTCCAATGTCGGCAAGAAGGACAGGCCCAAAGGACTTTTGTTTCCAAAAAGGTCCTGGGTGGCATCCTAAAGGCATGAGCCCTGACCTCAGGCTGCCGTATTCTCCATTTCGAGCCCCAGCTCTTAACAGTTTCCTCTCCAGCATCCAAAGCCACACCACCCCTGTGATACTGACCATCCACCTTTCCTACCTCAGTACTTTCCTGAACTTTTGCCTCTCTCAGTAGGAATTGCAGGCTTCGGGACTGTCATGTGACCCCTGCTGCTTAAATCTCCCAGTGTGCTGTCCCTTCCTGCCCACATCCTGGAAGCTGCAGACAAGCACCGAGCTGTGAAGTCCTATCTACACAGCAAGACTATAAACCAGTCCTCCTCTGCTCTGGATTCTCCTGGAGGCTCTCCCCTCCCTTCCCTAACCTTGCTCCCCCTCCACCCTCTCCTGATGACCACCTTGCATGCTGTAAGGAACAGACTGGAAGCAATCTGCCTGATGAGCTGCGTCCCCCACCCCCCAGCCTGGAGCAAAATGCTGCCACACCCACATGCTCCAATGCTCCTGCTCTTATTCCCTCTTTTTTTTTTTTTCTTTTTTGAGCTAATGTCTCATAGCCCAGGCTGGCCTCATGTTCACTCTGTAGCTAAGGATGACTTTGAACTTCTGATCCTA